ATATGATATGGTGTATTGATGCTATTGTGGTTGTGTAAGAAAACTTCCTAGGGGCAGGGGAATGGCTCAATGGTAGGGCACTTGCCTAAAAGGCTCATGGCCACAAAAAAGAAAAGGAACTGTTCTCATGTTTTAGAGATATGTATTGCATTTCACAGTGAAATCTCATAGTGTCTGTATCTTACTTTTAAATAAACAAACTCAGATGAAACAAATATAGCAAAATGTTAAAAGTTATAAAAGTTATATAATGACTATATAAGAATTTATTTTACTCTCTGTTCTACTTTCTCATATCCTTGGAATCTTCATAATAAATGTTTTCAAAATAAAAACTACATTAGAAAAGCCGGTGAACTCTCTTTCCAACAAGTTCCCATAACCCTTTTATTGTCCATCATGAGGTTGATGTTGCACCACAGAAATTGTAGAGCAGCTCAGGGACCCTCAGGGAAAAGCAAGTAACATCTTTATAAAGCTTCCACCCTAAAATCCTAAAGTGAAGACTAGTTAGGGATGAATGGGCAAGGATTCAGCAATCCTGAACATGCAGTTTTCCAGCAGGCCCCATTATCTGCTGGAGACTGGGTAGCCAAGCATTGGTTGCAGGAGGACATCTATTGCTCTTGACCTGCTCTGCATCCATTCCTCACTTTCCTGCAACAGTACCCAGTTTTCCTGGGGAGTTCCGTGCACACACACATACACACACACAAACCTGTTTATGTGGTGTGGGCTGAGCAGCCTCCTGTTGTACTTCAGGAGTGAGACCATGAATAGGATATAACCATATAGTCATGAGATTGATTTGGGGAGTAGAAGGGTGACAAAGCCTACTCAGTGGGTCAGCTCCAAGATGTTTTGTTTAACTACAGGGACAGAAAATAGGATACTGGTGGTCATGAAGAACCCTTTTGTCTTCATACAAAGAAAGGCATCTTATGAAGACAACATAAGATACAGGTGATCTAAGAGGTAAAAAAAAAAAAAAAAGCAGCTCAGTTGAAGTCATCTGAGCACCTGTTTCCAGCAATTTTTGAGAGACTCTCCACATGTTACTTGTAAGAGTGATAGAGTGATGAAGACCAAGGGGAGGGAAGGGAAGGAGAAGAAAGATAAATCAATTTTCTCTTTTCATGTCAGTGTGACTTGAGTGTCAGTCACTTGCACATAATCCTGTCACGTTCTCAGATCTATAATGTTAAGTCATAAAAACCAAGCAGCGGGGCTGGGGATGTGGCTCAAGCGGTAGCGCACTCGCCTGGCATGCGCGCGGCCCGGGTTGGATCCTCAGCACCACATACAAACAAAGATGCTGTGTCCGCCAAGAACTAAAAATAAATAAATATTTTAAAAAATTAAAAAAATAAAATAAAAGCCAAGCAGCTTCCTCTTTGCTTGCTGGAACATCTGACTTGGAACTCTCAATCCACCTGTAATACGTCTGATCCCTTAAAGCCACCATGATGAAAGGACTACATACAGGGGCTCCACTCTACTCTCCAGCAGAACCCCACCCTCCAGTCATCCATACCAAGGCAGCAGATAGGTGACTGAAGCTGTCTCAGACACTCCAGGCCAACACATCCATCAGTTGAGTGCCACCAAGATATCTCAGTCAACAGTACATGGAGCAAAAGATGACCTAGCCAAGTCTTAGCCAGATTCCAGGCCTGTAAAATCGTAAGATAATAAAACGGTTGTTGTTTTAAGCCATTCTATTTGGGGGTCTTTTGTTATGCAACAGTAGTTAACAGGAACAGGCAGCCAGTCCCCTCTCAGTTTTTGAAGGGACCTCTTCTGAACCTCGTTCTACTCCCACGGATCGTTTTTCAGCACTATCATTTTTCATGTCTCCTCCTTAAAGGGGTTTGGCTTTCCTCCTAATAATCTACCGAATTGGAATGCAAATCTCAACAGGTATTACTGCCAACAGTTCTCAGTACCCTCACTCAGAAACCCAGGCCCCTCACACTGGCACTCAAGCTTCTCTACACCTGACTTGTGATCCCTGCGGGTCCCCACTTCCTTCTTCCTCACTCTCTCACCAACTTCCTACCATAGTGGCAATGCTGCCCCTCACTAAGGCCTCAGGACCCAGCTGCAGCTTGTCTCCTCTCAGAAGCATTTCCAACCACACTTTCCTGTCTCTGTGGTCCCTTGCTTTGGACAGAGTGGCTTCCATAACCCGTGACACGTGAGAGGATTTACAAGCACAGCTTGCTCCAGTCACTCAATCCCTCTGAGCCGTTTACTTCTCTGTGAAAAGGGACAATAGCGGTACCAAAAGATATGAGTATTATAACAGTGATTACCTTGTGGGCAAGCAGTAGGCTAAGAGCTTTTTTTACACATTATTTCATGTAATCTTCACAGCGTCCAGAGAGACAGACCCTAACATTAGCACTATTTAATGGAGGAGGCAGGCAGGTTAAGCACCTAGCCTCACCTGCCCTTCCTAGGGCAGCCCCTGACCCCGCCTCTCCCGGATTGCTGAGTGCTTCCTCCTCCTGTTGCATTAACGCCCCTCCTTCCCCCAGCATACTGAAAAGGCCCGGGACGGCGGGATGGCGCCTGCCATGCACTTGTGCATCCCAAGGTCCTAGAACTGGGTCTGGCATACAGTAAATACATACTTTGTAAATATTTACTGACTGAGGTCATCCGTGAATGGATGACCTCAGCCAGTGCAGAACCTGGCCCTCTGCTCTTGGCTCTTTCTCGCCCCCTGAACGGGATTGGGGAACCTGCTTAGGACAGGACCTAGCACACCAGGCGCTCAGAGAAGAAGGAGGGAGAGAAAAAAGCAGAGGAGGAGGAGGAGATCAATAATTTTTAAACCACTGTTTTCTCCCCCGGAATCTGTCTTCACAACAGTCGGACTATGCCCACGTCAGTGTCCTCCTAGTGCTCAGGCCATCGCTGGCTCCATCTGCCTTCGGGGAGAATTTGGGAATAAACGTGGACAATACAGGTCCCCTTCCCCTCCCGGAAGAAAAAGAGAGAAGGTCACTCCGCTGGTCTCTCTCTCACCGGCGCAAGCGATGCGGTGACCCAGTTGCCCCACGCTCCTCCCCGGCGCGGATCCCGCCGCTCTCACGCCACAGTCCCCGCCCCCCCGCTGTGGAAGCTCCCAGAACCAGAGAAGCCTACTCGCTGCCTTCCCACAGTACCCACCTCCCCACCACCAACCCCGCCAGTGGGAGCGCCCTGTGTTCTGAATTGGGCTCCTGGGGCCTGGATGAGCCACCCTGGACCTTTTATTGCTGGTCTCTGCGTCTATCTTCATGACCAAGCGGTGCGTAGTGGGTCGGGGTCGCCACTGCCAGGGTCCAAAGGCTAATCGCTCTGGGCCTGTCCACGGAGACGGCCCGGCCAGGGAGGAGAGGAATCTGGGGACCCCAGTACACACCCCAAGAGCTCCCACTGTGCATGAACTCTACCAAAGATGCTGGCACAGACTCTCTGGGATATCAAGGCTTTCCGGGACAAGCCACATCTCTTCTCTGAGTCACAGTACACACAAACAAAATGGGATGTTTTCGCAGACTTCCCACCATTGGCCTGCAGAGACCGCTTCATGAGAAGGAGAAGGCCCACTGGGGTCATGAAGAGGACAGGAGATCCGGAGGGTAGAAGTCCTTGGACCCCTCTGAACCTCAATTTCCTCCTCTGTAAAATGGGGCCGGTAATGAACAACTCATTGGATTCTTCCCAGTTTGATGTGACGACGAATTACAAATAATAATCTCAAAGTCTGTGGAAGCTCCAGATGTTCTTGAAAATGAGTAACACAGGCCTCTGGCTTGGGTTTGGCCAGAACGCTCGCAGAAACTGAGGAGCCTAGGGCAAGTGTGGGTTCCTCTTAAAAGCAAGAGACATTGACCAAACTTAGCTTCACCTTAGGTGCGGTGGGGACAGAGGCTTGGGATGGGACGGCTGGATCCGCCCGGCTGAGTGAGGCCCCAAGCCTCAGGAAAACTTGGAGTTGGGGGAGGGGGGCGGGAAGCTTGAGAGGACACAGAAGCCAAGGGCTACAAAGTCCACACTTCTAGAAAGTCCTACACAGTCTCTCCCACCTTCCTGTCTTCTAACATTTCCCTCTTCTCTCCATCTTCATTCCTTCCTATCTTAATTCCCTTTCCCGCCCCATTTCTCTCTTGCTCGCATCTTTCTTCTCCAGCTCCTTCTCCCCCCCCCCCGCCCCATTTCCATCTCATCGTCACCCTCGCACTTTATAACCAAACAGCCAAACCCCCTTTCCAATTAAAGTGGAATTAGGCAACTCAATCAAATTAGTTCCCCATTAAAGCCCTTCTTTATTAAACCGTTTTCTTGTCCTGCTATTAAGTTTCACCGCCTGGCGGAACTCGCGCTGGCCCCAGAAGTTTACCTTGGGATGTCGCCGGCCCCAGCCTAGGGGAGGGGGCACCCTATTTCCTAGAGAGGGGCAGTCACACTGCAGAGTGCGGGAGGGACCCAAGGTTGGAAGAGGGGGTAGGTTCAGAAGCCTAATTTACTCAGGTCTGTGTGAGAAGGAAAGGTAATAGGCTGCGGGGACGACTTCTGGCCCGAAGGCGAGTCCTCATGGCCACCACCCCAAAATAACTCCCAGGCCACAGGCCCTAACTGGAGAACGGTGGAAGCCATCCCTGTCCAGCCGCCGCCAGACCGGCTCTGTGTGGATGCACCCAAATCTGCACCGGGGGAAAGCGGAAAGTGTCCCCAGCCTAGCAGGACCCCTGTGAAGGCTCAGCCTGCGCGTCCCGGACCCAGGGCCACCCCACCACAGCTCGCGCGCTGGACCTAAATGTTTTCAGGGTCCGGATTGAGCAAGGGGTGCACTTATTCCGTGAGTTTTGAGGCAGCTTCCTTTCCCGTAACCTTTTAGAGTTTAGGAGCACTGGCTGGGCCTAGGTCAAATTTCTCCCTGGCACCGTGGTCCCAGAGGAAAATCAAGACCTTTTCCTCCCGGCCGCTTGAGAAGCCGGGATTCGGCATTGTTTTCTTAGAAAATAACATTTATTTCTAGCTTTTATCTATGCAAAGGAAAGCACAAAGTGAGCGGTTTTCTGCAGCAGCGTTTTTCGCTGCTGGCCCTTCCGCCAGGGCGTTTGGCGAGTCGCGGGAGGCGAGGATGCGCCCGCGAGCGGGCGTTTCTGGCTCAGTCACACGTCGCTCTGTTCCTGCTTCAAGTGCGCACCTTGACGGCTCTTTAAGACCGGCCGCAGGCAAGAGGGCGGGTGGGCAGGATTCGTCCCGAGTTTACAGTATATTTAATCTATAAAACCTGATAGGTACAATGCGCGCATAGTCTAATTTTTTCCATTTTGTCCTTTTTTTTTTTTTGCTTGTTTTTGAATGTTTTTCACGTTAATACCGAGGTCACCTACAGATTACAATTAATAACTTAGAATTCCATTTTATAACATTATACACTGGCTTGTATATATATATGTATAGATTATATATAGATTTATACATATATAAAAACTCACACTGCACCAAGGAAACCCATGCTTATCGGCATAAGCAACAAAGAGAGCGACAAATACCGCAACAAGGAAAGTGCACCTTAGAACTTGTTTCCTTAAAAAAAAATGATATCGATATATGTGTGTGTGTGTGTGTGTGTGTGTCCCAAAGACTAGACTCAGTGCCAAGAGATGTGTATATCCTAAATTTATATTTGTTAGAGCGAATACTTTAAACTTTTTAAAAGGGAGGATTGGGGAGACACAGAGGAAACTCTCGGATTAGCCTGCAGTTCGTTAGAGAGCGTGGGCGGGCGGGTTGAGCATAGCTAAAGGAGCAGCAGGAGCAACCGCCCTCTGAATTCTCAAGAATACCTGGCCTTTTGAAAAGGCGCTGAGCGAGACTTGTGGAGGTTGCTGGAAGGAGGGATGAGGATCCAGGCCACTCACACCCTACAAGAACACCTGCACCTCTATATGCTGCCCTTTGCTCAGCTCTTTTCACCCACTCTCCAAAATAAAACCAAAAAAACATCTCCGAGCCAGAAGACCCCAGCCAGGGCGCAAAGAGCGCGCCAGGCGAAGTGGGGCCGGCGGCCCGCGGGAACAAGGCTGGGGTTAATGTTTGGGAGCCGCCAGGCTGCTGGGCCCTTAGTCCTACTGCTTCTCTGGGGCACCATTGACCATAGGCCCGTATAGGCCGCCACCATAGGTCGGCTCCTTGTGCACTGCCGCTGCGGCTGCGGCCGAGCGGTCACGCATGAGATCGCTGAAGGCGTAGTCCATAGGCGGGCGGAAACCGAGCGTGGGCACCAGGCCCGCGGTGGAGTAGGGTGCCATGAAGGCCAGGCCACGGCTGTGTGCTGCCGCTGCGGAGTAGGCCAGGCGCAATGGACTCAGGCCAAGAGGTGCACCCAGCGGGTAGGCGCCCGCATCCGCGCCAAAGTGACTGGCATTGGGTTGCAATGGCGAGAAGGCTGAGCGACTGCTCAGCGAGCCCAACGCCCCGGGTGCCATAGCGCCGGCCAGCAAGGGTCTGTGGTGCGGGGGTGCGGCGGGCCCAGCCTGCAGCGGCGCTGGCAGCGGCCCCCCAGCGGCAGCGGCGTCCACGCGGCCCGGCCACGCGTCGTCGGCAGCTGCTGCTGCACCCACTGCAGCCTTATCCGGGATCCCAGTGGGGCCCAGGCTAGCCGCCAGGCCTCCACGGTGGTGGTTCAGCACTTGCTCGATAGCCTGCACCACGTCGCCGCCACAGCCCTGCAACACCAGCTCCAGGACTCCTCGCCGGTGGCCCGGGAAGACGCGCGTCAAGATGTCCAGCGGCGTCCGCTGCCGTGAACCAGGGCCTCCGCCCAGCCCTGGAACCGGCGCGACCTCGGTCTCTTCTTTGTCAGCCTCGGAACCGGATTCGGAGCCCAGAGGGCTGGAGGAGCCCGGGCTGTCTTCCTCGCCGCCGCCCCCAGGGCCCGCGCTACCTGGGCAGCTGCCACCAGCTTCCTTGGAGGCCCGGGCTAGGGGCGACCCGGAAAAGGACTCGCCGTCGCCGTTCTCCGAGCCTGAGCCGGGCCGCACCTCTGGGGACGACGTCCCGGGACCCGAGTCTGCGCCGTCGGGCGATAAGGGCTTCACCTGCGGTGGCTGTGGGCTGCCCGGGCGGCCTGCCTGAAGTAATGTCTTGGGGAACAGGTCAAACTTCTGCAACTTGGCTTCTGAGACGGGAGAAAATAAGGATGTGACAAGTGATTAAGGGGAATAGGCACCCACAGCACCTAAGCCCTTTGGATCCCAGTTGCCTCTCAGAATCCCAAAACCTGTATTAAGGAGGCTCCAGTGCCCCTTCTTGATTTTTGCTCCAGTATTCCTCCCTCTCTAGGCTCCCATGATCCTTTATTCCCTGCCCCTAGGGCTTACTTTCTTTCTGTACCCAGACCCCCTACCACTGGGCCCTGTAATCTTAATATTCAGTACTGTTCTTGCCACATCTGTGCCTCAACACCTCCACTTTTAACTATCTCCCAGTTCCACTCTCCCCTGGAGAAGTAGCCTGGTCCAGGATTCAAACAGGACCCAGCAGAACTTCTAACTATACCTCACACTGTATAGAATACCCTATTCCATCCCAGGATTCCAAGAGCCAACCCGTTCCTGGGCAGCCCAGTAATCACGATTATGAAGGAGGTCACAAGCCTCTCTACAGACAGTAAATCCTATGTTCTAATCCACCTTCTCCAAAACTGAGACCAGAGAAGTTCTCCCCTCCAGAGCAGAGCCCCCTGCTCCATAGCCCCAGTCTAATTTCTGTCCTCCCAGAAAAACCCACAGGAGCACAGAAGAAGGTGAGTGTAGGGAGGGAATAGACAGAGATGAGGAAAAGGGAAGCCAGAAGATGTGCACCCTAAGAAAACCAGTTCTGATAGAGAAAGAAGCTACAAAGAAGTGGGGCATAGCGTCCCGTTGTCCAAAAGGAGCATCAGGAATGCGAGAAAAGGAATCTCCCTGGGAAAATGAAAGAGGGTGTCTTCAGTACCTAAAGAAAGTAATGCAGACTTGGAGGGGCTTGGAAGGAGTCGGGTTTATGAAAAAAAGAGTAGGGATGGAGCAAAGGGAAAGATGGCTAAGAAAGCAGAGCAAAGGAAAAGACGTGAGCCACACGGAATAGATAAAAGGAAGTAAGGAGGGAGGTAGAGACCTGCCTGTGTCTGCGTGGAGGAGAGTAAGATTAAAGTTTCCACATTTGGGCCCGGTAATAGAAAGGAAGAAAGTGCAAATAAATGCTCCTGAAAGGGGAGGAAGGAGAGTTTATGTGTCTGTACTCAATATTGGAGCCGCGTGCGCAGTGAACTCCAGCAGTTCGAACGTTTGGAGAAAGGGATTCTACTCTTCCAGTACCAAGACTAGGCGCACATCCCTGCTGGCACCCTGCAGCTTCCCCCCATCCCTGACCGAGTTCTCACCTGCGCCCCCTGTGCCCGCTGAGCCACCTCCGGTCCCTGCGGGCCCTCCGGCTCCAGGCCCCCCGCCGTCGGCGGCGCACACTGAGCCAAAGACCTCGTAGGCCGGTCGTGGTGGGATGATGCCGTTAGCGGCGGCCAGCGCCAGGCCCTCGGCAGTGCCATAAAGCAGTTGCAACTCGCGCGCCTCGTTCTCCTCTTGAGCCTGCTGCCTGCGCAACGCCACCTGTGCCGCCATGACGCGCTGGCGCTCCGCGATGAGCGTACACTTGGCGCACAAGCAGTCCTTCCAGCGGCAGTAGCGCTTGTGGCCCTTGAGTGCCGACACCACCCCGTGGTTGCGGCAGCGTGCGCACTTGGGGGTCCGCGGGTACTTCTCCGCCGCCCGCAACAACAGCGGCGGCGCCCGCAGCAAGCCGCCTGCCACACTCACTGGTAGCGACGCGGCCGCTGCTGCAGCCGCAGCCACCGACGCCACTGATGCCACGGGTGGTCCCGTCGCTGTCGCCCCCGCGGTCGCCGCGCCGGGCACGCTGGGCAGCTCCGAACGCAGCTCCATGGCACGACCTGACGTGGAAGAAGATGGGAAAGTGGAAGAGACCTGCTTAAGGAAAGCGCCGTGTGCTAGACTAAAGCACAGTCTCCAAGAACCAAAGTTTAGAAAGAGAAACCTTGGTGGTGGAAGTTTGGCTCGTGGTCTCCAAATTGCTAGGAGGGTTCTCCATTAGGAAGCTCCGAGTAAATCTGAGCTTCCACAATGCACTCCCATGAGCTGCTCTTATATCTGATTTATTACACGCCTGGGGTAAGATTTTGTTAGAATCAGTGATTCCTCCGGAAAAAAAGCAAAAAGACATAAAGTTTGGAAGTCACTGGTTCAGATATACGTAAGGAGAGTTTTAAAAAGACAATATTATTCCCCAAAACTTAGGTTAATTGGGGTGAGATGGGAAGAGTGAAATGTTTGCATTACGGGAGTCAGATTACAGAGCAAATTTTGGACCAACAAGCTCATGCCAGAGGCAAAACAGGAAAACCAAGAATACAATGTGCAGTTTGGTGGAAGGGTGAAGAGGAGAGGAATGTCCAGGTGCGGAGTTGGGCAGAGAGGGCCTGACTTTGCTTGTTTGTTTTTTTATTTGTTTGTTGTTAATGTGGGGCAGGAGAGTTGGAGGTGAAATTGAAAACAGAAATAGTTTCGCATTAATAGTAGAGTGCGGGCTAAGAAACAAACTCTAGAGTAAAGTTAGGCCTGTGGCCTTAGGACATTTAAAGGTATGATTCCACGGTGCCCGGTCTCCAGAAAGTGAGAGAGAAAATGGGTGTGGAGCTGAGTTTAGTAGACTTGAGGACTATTAAAGAGAAAATCCAGCAGAAGAAACTTTCTTCGGGGAGGCAAACCGAGCCCAAACGGGGTTTGAGGGGCAAGGAAAACATCGACAAACAGCTGATAGAGGTGCCTGAGTCCCAGGGTCCGCAGCGCGACACCCGAAACAGGTAAGAAAAAAACCTAGGCAAAGGCTAGTGGTGGGTATTGGGCAAAACTGTGGCGCAGTTTTTAGCCTTGCAGCCTGGAGTAGGAAGAAGTATCCGGAGAAAAGTTAGGTATTGCTGAGGGGGATCTATTTCGCTGACCACCTTACACCGCCCTCCCCACCCCTCACAGTTTGGGTACAGACACGCCCTCTAAGGAGGATAAGTCCTGGGGCCCCACGGGACCCCGCTAGAGCGCAGATTCCCGCCTTCAGCCTCCCAGTTGGGTTCCGGGGACTTGGATGGCCCAGCAGGCCGCAACGAGGCAGGGGACTTGCCTCCGAAACTGGCCATGAAAGGACACAGGAGTCCCACCTGCGCCGGAGTCCCAGAAGGCCCAAGCAGGCCCAGTTTCTAGGTTCCGCCGCGGCTTTCTCTGCCGGGACTCCCCTCCCTCTTGTCCCAACGAGAGCCCAGGACAGATCCTGGTGTCTCCGACCGAGAATCCCAAACCTCCTCCCTGTACGCGGGTGCTCTGTTTCCGCAGACCCTCAGGCCGCGCAGTCCCTGAGGCCCGCTAGACCTGGGCCTTCTCAACAGGGGCCGAAAGCCAGGTTGCCTCCCCTGCTCTCCCGGCTGCCCTCAACTACCTGCCTTGGGCTCCGGGATCCTCCTCCTCCGCTGGCGCTGCACGCGCCTCCCAGCTCTGCTCGTGACGCTTGCACTCTTGGCCTCTTCCCCTTGACCCCGGTCCCTGATCTGACCACGTCACCCTCCTTCAGTCACCATGTCCGAACTTCCGGACCCCCTCAGCAAGCAGCGCAGTCCAACCCTCACGTCGGAAATCGGGGCCGGGGACCCGATTTGGGGCCGGTTGGTTGGAACCCGCGACCAAGCTCTCGCCGTGCCAGGTCCCCTCGCGGTGCGCGCGGGACGCTGCGCTCAGCCGGGGCCCAGTTGCCCGGCGCTGCCAGACTCTCAATGAGCCTCTCGCCCGCTCTATTGTTGCTCCTTAGGGCTCCATTAGACAGAATTGGACAACAATGTGGCGCCTGCCATTGGCCAGGGGAGGCAGACAGCGCTCTGATTGGCCGGGCCCGCGCCCGGGGAGCCCCTCATTCTACTGTGTCCGAAAGATTCGAAACTCCAAAAGCTCTACTGTGTGCCTCGAGGAGGGGAGGGGGCGCGCCAGGGAAGGAGTGGAAAAAAGTGGGCAAGGAGGAGCGTTGAAAATATCGTGACAAGAAGTTTCCGTGCGCCCAAGAGCGTGTGAATTGCTCCTAATTACCGTGTCCGGTGTGACTCTACGTAGACGTGTGTAACCCCTCGGCTTCTGGGGCGCCGGCTAGGCTGCGCCACTCTCACTGGCCGGGGGCGCTTGGCAAGGCCGAGCTTCCCAAGTGGCCCTGGCGGCCTAGGGCGGGATGGGGGCATATGACAATTCAATTACCGCGGTCGGGTGGGAGTAGAACGGGGCCTCGGGTGCGGGCAAGGGAGGGTGATCATGGCATAAATGCCAAGGCAATGATTCCTGTCTTCTTCGACTCTGATTCGGCTTGCTCCCAAGTCCAACGCGTTTGTGGTAGTTGGGGAGTGTTTTGGGGTTTTTTTTTTCCCCTAAAGCCTTTAAACCCGGATTCCTTCATTTTAAAAGTGCTGATACGTTAAACATCAAGGAGGGTAAGTTGGTTTATTGGTATTTTTTGTTTTTAAAAGAGGGGCTCAGAAGAAATGAGATTGCGCTTTCTGTCGGTGCCAGCGGCGAACCCCGCGCGCTCTGAGCAAAGCTTTCCTCTCTCCTTCCCCACCACGCCCCCCATCCCGTTCCGGGCCCGGGCCCCTTTACTGTTTACTTTCCTCATTTCTCTTCGTCTCAGTTTCTCTTCTGGTCGTGGGATTCTTTTGTCGATGTTTTAAATTAACGAAAACTTTGGCGCTCTCTCTCTCTCTCTCTCTCTCTCTCTCTCTCTCTCTCTCTCTCTCTTTCAATGAAAGTAAAAAGTCTATGCATCTCCCCAGATCCTCTTGAAGGATGGATGGTCGCGCATCAGTTCGATACTTCCCGGAAGAAGACAAGGTCGCTGCGGGGGCCCCCCCGCCCCCCCCCCTCAGGAACAGTTT